GAGCTCTGCTGAGTGCCCAGGCTGTGAGCGGTGTAGGGAAGGAGGAGCTCTGCTGAGTGCCCGGGCTGTGAGCGGTGTAGGGAAGGAGGAGCTCTGCTGAGTGCCTGGGCTGTGAGCTGCACAGGGAAGGAGGAACTCTGCTGAGTGCCCGAGCTGTGAGCAGTGTAGGGAAGGAGGAGCTCTGCTGAGTGCCTGGGCTGTGAGCGGTGTAAAGAAGGAGGAGCTTTGCTGAGTGCCCGGGCTGTGAGCTGCGCAGGGAAGGAGGAGCTCTGCTGAGTGCCTGGGCTGTGAGTGGCGCAGGGAAGGAGGAGTTCTACTGAATGCCCAGGCTGTGAGCGGTGTAGGGAAGGAGGAGCTCTCCTGAGTTCTCTGCCAGACCTGATTCTGTTCTTACCTGCTAATCCCCTGTACCCTGCCCTGCTGATCCTTGTCCCCTGTCTTCTACCCCGATGACCCCTATCCTCAGCCCTACTGACCGCCTGTACTCTGTCCTACTGACTCCTATACATGGCTTTGATAACCACCTGTACACTGCCCTACAAACTCACCCTATCCTCTGCCCTGCTAAACCTTGTTCCCTGTCTTCTGCCCTGCTGATCCCTATCCACTGCCCTGCTGACCCCTATCCTCTGCCCTGCTGACCTCGCATCCTCTGCCCCCCTTACATTTTCTACTGCACCACCACAGCAGACAGGCTAGATCCGGCCCTGATATAAACACACAAGGGGGCTTCAGTATTGTATGAGTGACAACCGAAAAGTCACCTTCTCGGAATGATGGAATGAGGAGGGGCTGGGGCGGGGCACACAGCTGTAGTCCCGCCCACACAGCATCATCAGGCTCAGTACATTGTTCTCTGTGGAAGAGAGGAGCGCTGTGTACTGACAGGGGAGAACTCTGCACTGAGGGGGTCCTTTCTTGTTCTTTCCCTCCTTTCTTTTCCCTTTCTCTCCTTTCCTTTCTCTTTTTCACCATTCCTTTTTTTTTTTTTTTTTCGCCTTTCCTTTTTTTTTTTTTTTTTTCGCCTTTTTTTTCCTTTCTCCTTAGGCGCGGATCAAGCACACATTATGGACTTTTAAGTCGTATTCAATGTATTCACCGTTGTTGCATAATCACACGGTTTTGATGCTTAAATTCATATATGAGGTTATAGAGATATATGTGCGGCACTATTTTAGGACAGAACTCTGTAAGGCCCTCAGGAGGAAGGTTGTGGATGCCGAGAAATATAGAAAATGATTTTAAAAGATCTCCATATGATCTGAAACCAATCAGTCCACTGAAAGGACATCTACAAGTGGTGGTGTAGAGAACTAGGAGCGCAGAGAGAGCGAGCACACAGACCAATCACACGAATCCCAGAGCGCAGGTGTTTCATTGGGGAACTCGGGGTACAGGCCGTGGGAGAACTAGTCCACTGAACAAACAGAAGTCACAGCAATGAAAGGTGGTCCTCGTAGTGATGATTCGGGGCAGCAAAGGGGTGATAGTCCATAGGGCTGAGCAGAGTTGGCCCAGCAGGAACTAAAGTCCTTGTCACACAGGCAGGGCAGTGTTTGGCACAGCCGGGGTTAAAGTCCTCAGTAGATGGATGGGGCACAGCCGGGGTTAAAGCAGGACAGACCAAGATCTCCTGTAGTCTGAGGGTCCAGACAATGAAGGAAGGGGGGGGGTCTGGCCGCAGCACAGGACCACACACAGCCTATCGGTGTATATTAAAAACAATGGCTAACTTGTCCAGCAGTGGCCTGCCGAGCACAATTCAGCCCAAGAGCTTACCATCTGATGCCGAGAGAAGTCTCAAAGAATCAGGAAATGTCATTGCAGGGTGTACAGGTAACTTACAGCAGTTGGGGGGTCACAGTGCATCTATCTATAATGAGAGGCAGCACAGTGGCCTAGTAGTTAGCACTTCTGCCTGGCATCACTCGGGTCATCGGTTCAAATCCCAACCATGCCACCACCTACATGGAGTTTGCATGTTCTCCCTGTGCCTGTGTGGGTTTCCTTTGGTTACTCTTCTTGCAAGTAAAGGGATTTTGCATGGAGAAATGGTCAAAATTCAAATACTAATTTCTGGTCTGTGTGACAACTGCTCTGGTCACGGGATCAGGTCTTCATTTACTGGAACTGTCTCTTGATTTCCCACCATGCATCTGTATTTAATTTTGCAGTTAAAATGTATGGACACTGTGAAAGTTCTGCTGACATTTCTGATCTGTGGTCTCTTCCCAGGTCTCCTGTGTATGCTGATCATCCCGGTGTCACCAGGAACGGTGTATGTACAGAGCGGATCCGACATCACTGACTGTAATATGAAGTGTCCTGAGGATAATGATGATATAGTGACTCTGGAGCTGTACAGAGTATGCAGAGGGGAGGATAGGACTCTGCTAGAAAATCACTGTTCTATAAACCACACCAAATCACATGACCCCAGACTCCGACTGCACACAGGGAGCGGCTGCTGGAAGCTGACACATGCCAGGAAGGAGGACTCCTGTGTGTATAAGGTCTGGTGTTACTGTGATAAGAATTATCTATTGTCCTCTACAGAGATCCGTGTTCTGGGTAAGAGTCCATATCCTGCATCACGCTTCTCCCCGCACTGCATTGTACTCTATGGGGGAAGAAGTGTGTCTATTATAGGAAATGAGTTCTTCATGTTTCCAGTATCCCCCACTGATATCTTCTCCTCTATCCTATTCAGTATGACATTGGAGGGTTGTGGACTATGGGGGTCAATTCACAAAGCATTAAATAATGACTGAAAAAATGCAAATAAAATGTACAATTCACTAAGAATTTTGCAGTAAATCTTTTGTGCTGTAAAATATTGGTATTGCGGTTATCTCTGTATATTTTCATGCGGTAATTTATCACATGGTAGCTGGTTGTTAAGGAGCGGCCTGAGAAGCCAACCACCGCGTCCTTAACAACGGATGACTCGTCAGCTGTCGGATTTCCCGCTGACAGCTGAATGTAAACAAAACATGCCGGCAATTAACCGATTCCCATCCACCCTATAGCAGTAATACTGCTACAGGGCGGCACGGGTGCGCAAAATCGTGTGTGTGTTGTATGTGGTTATATGTAATTTTGCTTTCCTGCCCAGTGCCATTAGTGCAGCGTCGGTGCTTTGTATTAGCACTGATCGCTGTATTGTTGTCACTGGGGATGTCACCAAGTCAGTTCCCCCCCAGTGTCAGTATACCTGCCACAGTCCTGCTATAGGTCGCTGATCGCCGCCATTACTAGTAAAAATTACAACATTTTAAAAATCCCTGTGTGTGTATATGTACAGTCAGGTCCATAAATATTGGGACGTCGACACAATTCTAACATTTTTGGCTCTATACACCACCACAATGGATTTGAAATGAAACGAACAAGATGTGCTTTAACTGCAGACTGTCAGCTTTAATTTGAGGGTATTTACATCCAAATCAGGTGAACGGTGTAGGAATTACAACAGTTAGCACATGTGCCTCCCACTTGTTAAGGGACCAAAAGTAATGGGACAATTGGTTTCTCAGTTGTTCCGTGGCCAGGTGTGAGTTATTCCCTCATTATCCCAATTACAATGAGCAGATAAAAGGTCCAGAGTTCATTTCAAGTGTGCTGTTTGCATTTGGAATCTGTTTGCTGTCAACTCTCAAGATGAGATCCAAAGAGCTGTCACTATCAGTGAAGCCATCATTAGGCTGAAAAAAAACAAAACAAACCCATCAGAGAGATAGCAAAAAACATTAGGCGTGGCCAAAACAACTGTTTGGAACATTCTTAAAAAGAAGGAACGCACCGGTGAGCTCAGCAACACCAAAAGACCCGGAAGACCACGGAAAACAACTGTGGTGGATGAGCGAAGAATTCTTTCCCTGGTGAAGAAAAGACCCTTCACAACAGTTGGCCAGACCAAGAACACCCTCCAGGAGGTAGGTGTATGTGTGTCAAAGTCACCAATCAAGAGAAGACTTCACCAGAGTGAATACAGAGGGTTCACCACAAGATGGAAACCATTGGTGAGCCTCAAAAACAGGAAGGCCAGATTAGAGTTTGCCAAACGACATGTAAAAAATCCTTCACAGTTCTGGAACAACATCCTATGGACAGAGGAGACCGAGATAAAGAGAACACAGGAGGCGCACACACCTAGTGCATTATCCAAGGTTTATTGAAAGGAGAGAAAGATAAAAATATACTCAGACGAAGCATGTATCTAAAAGCATTGAAAAATGAAGATGGGCACAACGGCAGGCAAGGTGTTCCCACTGTCAGTGCGGTCAAGTGACTGAGCATTTCGGGGACGAATCCCTTTCCTCAGAGCTAATGACCAGCCTCTGATGCAGATGTGTAATGAATGGATAATGGGAGCCTTGCTGGTGATGCCTCATAAATGTATTTATAAATATACTTTCTGTTCCATTTGTAAATTGGACTTACTGCACTTTTTTTTTTTTTTTTTTTTTTTTTTTTTTGTGAATTGGACATTATCGCATACGACATTTTATGCAAAGGAGTCACATGACCATGTTATCGCATGCAGTAATCTTTAGTGAATGGACCCCTTCGTTCCCATTCTGGGCCCCAAAGGGCAGCAGCAGACACATGGGTTAGTGTGAAGCATTTAATGTGCAATTTGGAGAGGTATCGGCTGATCGATGATATAATGTTCATCAGAATGCTGGAAGCAGAAGGTATTGGTGACTATGGGGGGGGGTCATGTTATATTCCATGTATTGGGGTGTTATAGGTCGGGGTCATCCTGTCTCCTCTTCTCTGGGGGGTTATAGTGGGAGGGTGACACAGGATAGTAACATTGTGTCATGTTGTCTCTTCTCTGCTCTCCTGATGGAGGATTATACAGGTGAGATGTCACATGACCACCAACAATACAAACTGATACATTGTATATTTATCATATGTGTATCTAAATCTTTTATACGTTGTGTCTACATTCTATTTACTTTCTCACAGATTTGAAGCTATATAGAAGGATGGGTCTCATTGCTGCTCTCATTGCTGGTCTCATTGTTTCAGGAGCAGTGATTGTTTCTACTATATCTCAGGTAAGTGATATTTCTTCCTGTCAGTAATACATTATTACACAGATGAGAGTAGAGTAGTAAGTTGTCGATGCAGTAGGAGTAAATAACATACCCGGGCATCAGTGGGAGGTAAAATGCTCCTATGTCAGTGGTGAACCTTCTGTCTCTGCTGGGTCCGTTCCTCCTCTGTCCATCCTTCTGTCTCTGCTGGGTCTTTCCCTCCTTTGTCCAGCCTTCTGTCTCTGCTGGGTCTGTCTCTTCTCTGTCCAGCCTTTTTGACTGTTGTGGGACTGCCCATCCTTCTGTCTCTGGTGGGTCTGTCCCTCCTCTGTCCATCCTTCTTTCTCTGCTGGGTCTGTCCATCCTTCTGTCTCTGCTGGTTTCTGTCCCTCCTCTGTCCATCCTTCTGCCTCTGGTGGATCTGCCCTCCCCTCCTTTGTTCATCCTTCTATCTGTGCCTGGAGTTGGGGCATCTGGCATAGTCCTGCAGGGTATATGGGCACATATTGGGATTCCATTACATGTAGGGCTCTTCCATTGCAGAGGCCGGTCTACAGCAACCAGTGAGCCATAACAGGTTTCCTAAAATGTGATTTGCTCTTCAGCAAATATCCAGAATAGGGCCTCACCACAATGATTTGTTTTATCCAAAATGCTGTGTACATATATGCCAAATGGTTCAAATTGTGCCATCATTCCTGTGCTGCTGTGGAAGATCAAAGTGTTTTATATGGGACTTGTATGGGAAAGCCGTGTTAGTGTGAGCAGTGCTGGTTCTCATTATATTATTGTGGCTTCGATAAAACGGTCTGTATTGCGGTTCTATGATAAAGATCCGACAACATGTTATTCACAACACTTTCTCTCTATTATTTCTTCCTATATTGGTGCACTTTGGATGTGTTTTGGATCACTCAGCCCCTGTCACTGTCCATCTGGGGGGTCATCTACTATGTGGAGGGTCAGAAAACTTCCCATAGATTAATACATGGTGAAAGTCCCTATAGGGACAGTGAGTGTATGACTAAAGGCTGAATACTGTTTAGAAAGTAAAGTCATATAATGGAGTGCATGGAGGTGATCAGGGATGGGGAGGGCCATCAGAATGTCTTGGGGGGGGGGGAGGGATCCCGGCTTGGCTGCCCTTATCTGATGTAGTGAACACCCCAGTAGTCACATGACCAGGGACAGTCAGTAAAGAATGAGGGGTGTCTAATAAATATAATCAAATTCCATATACGTGATATTATTATTATAAGAATTAATAAACAAGAGACCACCATTTAAGGTGATATATATGTGCAAAATACAACATACACAAAAAAAATGTAAAATAATTAATAATAAATGATAAATAATAAAAATAAAAAAAGACCTCTATATAATCTTGCTGTGCAGGTGATATTGTGTGCTCACCTCACTTATACAGCCCAAAGTTCTAAATGGAGCTATATACTTATTGTCCTTAACTAGACATAATATGAATGTCCCAATTTTAATCTTTATATATTGTGAAAAATATATTGCTGTTGGAATGGACTGTAATATTACTCTCCTTCCACTGGGTGGCCTCCCAAATTCTTCTGAGCTGTAAGGGCTAGATGGATGAATACGGATGTCTCCCCTCATCCTGTGGGGATCAATCTCCTATCTCCTCTTCTTCCCTTTTGCTCCTCCAGTTTAGACCATGTAAAAAGAAAGATTCCCACATAGTGCTTTATCTTTCATAAAGACTTTAATTTATCTCCGGTAAAATGCGCACTTACATTCCACAAAGCAATACAGAGCGTTTTTTCAATGTGTGCCCATGCACAGTGACAGTACTCGCCGTTCTGCTGAAAGTGGCGTCGTGACATCAGAGCCCCTCCCCTACGCGTTACGCCACAGGGTCACGTGGCTTCCTCAGGGGGATTCAATAGGACGCCATAACGCTGCTATCTTTATATAAGCCGTTCCAGCGCCATTTTCTCGAAGTCCGCATGGAAGCGGCCATCTCAATGGGGCCAGATATTATTACTTATACATATACAATGTGTTCATATGTAAAACACATTGCTTATATTATTTACATAGGGCTTATTGAAGAACAACCTTACGTTACTCTGACTTAATATCACTAGTACTGTAACTGAGCTAGGCACCATCGAATTCAATTATTAAATACACAAAGCCTCCATTTAAACACATTAATAATTCTAATACTTGTTATCCTTTAATTAGCAGTATGAGAATCTTAAAACAAGTGCATTAAACTCAAATAAAAAAATATAAAAATAAAATATGAAAGAGAAATAAAATAAAATAAACTAAATAAAAATAAATATAAATATAGAAATAAATATAAAGTTAAAAATAAAATATAAAAAATGAAAATAAATATAAACAAAACAAATAAAAATAAATAAAATAAAATAAAAAAAAATAAATATAAATATAGAAATAAATATAAAGTTAAAAATAACAATATAAAAAATGAAAATAAATATAAACAAAAAAACAAATAAAAAAAATAAATAAAATAAAATAAATAAAAATAAATATAAATATAGAAATAAATATAAAGTTAAAAATAACAATATAAAAAATGAAAATAAATATAAACAAAACAAATAAAAATAAATAAAATAAAATAAATAAAAATAAATATAAATATAGAAATAAATATAAAATTAAAAATAAAAATAACAATATAAAAAATGAAAATATAAAAATATAAAAACAATACAAATAAAAATAAAAAAAATAAATATAAACTTAATAATTGCTTAAAAATATTAACTTTATCCCCTTACTGTCTAGTTATCCAATCCTGTAACCATACACAAATCAGTCTTAATTATTTGAATAGAGGTCTGAAATTTGCGCCTACTAACAAATTGAATAAATTTGAAACGTATATAAGTGTACAAAAATTCATAAGAAAATTAAAATTTAAAAAAAATATTTTTTACAGAATCCCATTGACACTAACAATCAGGACATTGGGAATATACAACACAGTACGTTGAAAAAAATAAATCAGTATTCAATCCTAAAAATCAAGATAATCTATACATAAATAACTTTAAGAAAATGGTGATGGAAGATATAGAGGAACTTAAGATAAAAACGTTTAAAGGAGAAGCCGATATAAAGAAAGGAATTAAATCTTTGCAAGCTAGAGATAACATAGTAGTGAGACCAGCGGACAAGGGGGGGGGAATAGTGTTGTTATCGAAAGATTCCTATAATAAGTCTATGAGCAATATGTTAGGTGATACTGATACTTACTGCAAACTGATTAATAACCCCACTAAATTATATAAAACAGAATTAAGTAAATTAATATTATATGGAAAACAAAGAAACATTTTGGATGATAAGGAAGCAAATTACTTGATACCCTCAGTTAGCAAGATACCAGTTTTTGTATTCTATACCAAAAATACATAAAAGTTTAGAAGATCCTCCAATGAGACCCATAGTTAATGGTATAGATGGGCTATTATCTAGAATTGGACAGTATATAGATCAATTTCTTCAACCCTTAGTAGAGAAAACAAAAGCATATATAAAAGACACCACACATGTGATTAATATTTTGCAGACAGTGGAAAAGAATAATAACTTAATTTTAAGCACAGCAGACGTCTCTTCACTTTATACTATAATTGATCACACAGGAGCAATGGAGGCAGCAACTTGGGCTCTGAATAAATATTCTACTCTTTCTAAGAAACAAATTAAATTTTTGATTAAATGTATCAGATTTTGCCTCAGCCATAACTTCTTTTGGTACAAGGGAGAATACTACTTGCAGATAAGGGGAGTTGCCATGGGCGCCCGTTTTGCACCTAGTATTGCCAATCTGTATATGGCTAAGTGGGAGGAAGAAGCAGTTTTCTCCAATATTAATAGCAATATAGTGACATATGGCAGATTTATTGATGACATCCTAATATTGTGGAAAGGTGACACACCATCACTGATTGATTATTATCAGAATCTGAATATGAATGTTAAAAATATTGAATTGAGTTGGAACATCAATGAGGAAGTAATACACTATCTAGATCTCACTTTAGTGAACACAGATGAAGGGATAATAACAAAAAAATTATTTCAAAAAAACTGATCGTAATTCATACATCCCGGTTAGTAGCTGCCATTACAGACCATGGATCAAAAATGTACCAAGGGGAAATTTTATAGGTTACGAAAAAAAACTGCACTAATATTGAAGATATAAGAATACAAAGCCAAATACTTGTTCAAAGGTTTGTAGATAAGGGTTATAAGAAAGAAATGATACTGGATGAAAGAGGTAAAATAGAACTTATAGATAGAACCACATTGTTAGAGGGTAATAAGAAATTTAAAACCAGAGAACAAGAATTATCCATAATATTACCATACAGTAGACAATACAGAGATGTTCAGAAAATCATAAATAAACATTGGAACATACTCCAACTCGATAAAACCTTGAAGGATGTAGTTAAAGAGCAACCCAGGTTTGTTTATAAAAGAGCACCGAATATCCGTGACCGAATAGTCAAAAATGTGTTAGAACCCCCCCAAACTTTGAAAACTACTTTAAATTTCTTTACTGGAACCGGATTTTATAAATGTGGTCGGTGTTACAGTTGCAGGAAAACACATTCAAATCCAAGACATAGAGAGTTCTTTATAAATCCAAGGAACGGTAAACAATATAAAATAGATCAATTTATTTCCTGTGACAGTACAGGTGTAGTGTATGCCTTAAAATGTCCCTGCAATTATCTATACATAGGTCGCACAAAAAGAAGTTTGAAAGAACGCATGCAAGAACATGTACACAATATAGAAATAGGATTCAAATACCATCACCTATCAGTACATTTCAAAACGCATCACAATCAAGATGCAGATAAAGTTGAATTTTGGGGTATCACTAAACATTTTTCACACTGGAGAGGGGATAATTTAGTACGTGAAATAAGTAAAAAAGAATCATTCTGGATTTATGAGTTGGGTAGTTTAGTACCAGGAGGATTAAACAAAGATTTTGATTTATCATGTTTTATTAGTGATATATAGATTGGGGACTATGCGCCAGGTCCATTCATGATGCATGTGCGGGTATGAACATGCATGGCGGTGTTATGAGGTGGGGATGCGGTGGGGTTCACTCTGGTCTCGCTGCATGGGCGCCTCTCTGCACTAATTTCCGCCTGTTGTTGTTCACGCTTTTTCACATGCATGTGTGGTGTTATATGGACCCGTGCATAATTCTTCAACCTATTTTTTAATATTTTTGAATAAATATTTTTATTTTTTATATTTTTAATTTTATTTCATTTTATATTAATATAAAATTTTTGTAATATGGATTTAAATTAATAAATTTTTGCAATTTGTCATTTGTATTTGCTTTATAAATTTGCTGATATTTGTACATTCCATTAAGATACTAATTCATGCTATGGATATTCCATAAAGAGACGTATTTACAATATTTGAGCTGACTGCGGAGTAGTGATGTTATGTACCCCTCCGGGATGGTTACAGTGTTGATAGAATCATAAATAATACGGCATATATCTATAGGAAAAATGGCTGCCCCCATTAGAAAGTCAACAAAATGGCGGAGCCGTGCTTTATAAGCCGGCAGCTTACGAGTGACCGACCAATCAAATCCCCCTGATGAAGCCACGTGACCAGTGGCGTAACGCGTAGGGGTGGGACTGTGTACGTCACTCAGAGGGAGTCAGTCCGGCTATCGGACCACGAGCGCACAGCTCCGGCAGTCAGCGGCGGTCTGAAATATATTTGTACTACCACTATACGAATTTATGTGAGTGCCACCTGTCAGCATAATTAAAAGCTTTTAAAACGATAAAGCACCATGTCAAGATTTTTCTTGTTTATGGAGAACCGTATGGAGACAGGAAGACATTGGAGTGGCACCCTATGAGAGGAGATTTTTTCCATAGCACATGTCGCATTCCATGGATATTTCACAAACAGGAGTTCTTATACAAGTAGGTTCCAAAGGAGGTGAACCGCAAGCTTTAATAGCCTAATTGCAGGCTATCTATAAGGTGAGCGCATATCTTCACTTGAGGGAGGAGGCACAAGCAGTCACCGATTTTATGATATTGAAGATTTTCCAGCACAAAGTCACTTTTTTGTGGGACATTATTATTACCAGAATTATATATTTTATATTTTTTTATATTTTTTATTTCATTTATTAGTTTATTTTTTCCACTGTCCTATGCATATTGTTTATTTGAGTTGATTTTAATAGATTCACAAATACAGTCATCTATGTTTATCAATACACATTTGTTTAGATGTACAGATTGAAGGGTTGTGAGCGCAATACTATATTTATTTTTATATACACAAATCAGTATTATGCTTATTATATATCCTTATGTTATTTCTATTATATTAACATCTATATTTAACTGTGTGAAGTATTAAAAAGTTTTTTAAAATAATGTGAAATATCATCTGCACTTAATCACTACCCTTAAATAAAATCATACTAAAACCGCAATCTACATGTATGTGTATGTCCACATCCACCCTGTCTACATACGTCTAATAAATACGCATGGACATACATTATATATGATATGCTGTGTAACTATTAATTTAAAAAAAATGGTGGTCTCTTGTTTATTAATTCTTATAATAATAATATCACGTATATGGAATTTGATTATATTTATTAGAGTTTTTTTTATATTGATCTTATTTATTTATAATATATTTAGTAATATTGTTCAATAATCAATTGTAGCACAGAGGTGTTTTTATTTTAATTTATTTTAGATCACTATGGAATAATATATATTTACATTATTTATTATTTAGCACAGTAGTGCATGATATGCACGTTTGAAGGGGAGAATATTGCAAATATTTCATTTTCTAGTAGATGGAGCGCGACACATTTAATATTTTATTAGTTTATTTTCACACAGTATTATGAGTGTGTATTTGTGTTGAGGCGCCATCACATTTTTAGGAGTCAGTCATTTATAAGAATTTTCTAAATATCACTATAGTAGCTCACAAGTACACTTTATTATAAAGAATGAGGTGTCACTGCTCTAAATCCTCTGTGATCTGTGAGGATATTCTGTATTATTATCTGACCTTTCATCCTTGGTTTTATATTCTCAGAGACCTCGCAGGAAGAGAGAGGAGAGCAATGTGACCTTGCAGACTGAACCTCCAAATGACATGGAGGGAGGGGCTGTGACCACTCAGGAGAATGAACCTCTGCTTGTTGTCATCCAGAATGGGGCTGGGGCCATTGTAGAATATGGACCGGATCACAACCAAGCAAGTCCAAGTACTTGACAGATCAGAAAGAGAATGCAGAGCATGAAGGTTTGAGACGATTGAAAAGTCCTTTTTGCTTTTTGGGTTTTTTTTGCACTTAACACTGACAAATGGTTGCACATACATATCTGAAAACTGTTACAAGAGACAATTCTGCTCATCTACTCCCATGATCCAGCACCCTGACAGGTAACATAGTCAGGTCAGTGACTTCCCTTTTCTCCATTGTAATTAAGCAGTACAGTGTGATCACCCCCTTCCCGTGGCTGGACAATGAAGAAGTTCATCCCATTGATGAGATCAAGAAGCTCCTGTGTGGGTGACAGTACTCTGAAATACAACAGAGCCCGCCATTCATATACTCGGCTAGATGCAGGAATTTGGATGTCACCACTATTCATAACCTGCAGCTTTCTGTGTCACTGCTCCTCCCCCACCCTGATCAGTGGTAATATATGAGCATGAACAGAGCACTTATTAAATGCTAGAATGGCAATGAGGTGTAGGGTTTGTGTACACATATATATGATGATTATAAATGTCTTCTTATCTCAGAGGAAGGCTGGAACTGAATCTCAGGAAGACTTGGAATATTATTTCAAATGTATCAAAAAAGTGGAAATTGCAGTTCAATGTTTCTAAATGTAAAATAATTCACCTAGAGAGCAGAATCCTGTGAGAGAGAACAACATTGGGGTACGTTGTTGGCCAGCACTGCAGAGGAAAAGAACTTTGGGGGGCACTTATTTCAGATGATTGAAAAATGAGCAAATCGTGTGACCAGGCAGTGGGGAAAGGTGAATAGAAATTCTAAGATGCATCACTAGAGGGGTCACCAGCAGGTAGGAAGGAGGTCCCGATTCCTCTATATAGATCCTATCACTTAGACTAGAGGGGTCACCAGCAGGAGGAAGGAGGTCCTGATTCCTCTATATATATCTCAATATCACTAGAGGGGTCACCGGCAGGAGGAAGGAGGTCCTGATTCCTCTATATAGATCTCTATATCACTAGAGGGGTCACCGGCAGGAGGAAGGAGGTCCTGATTCCTCTATATAGAATCTTTTAGTTGGACCTCAATTTAGAATACTGGGTCCAGTGTCTGGAGATCTCACTTACAAAAGGATACTGATGTTGATAGAACGAGACCAGAGACGGGGAACAGAAATGGTGAAAGGTCGCGGGTAGGGGTAAAACATATCAAGAGTGACTTCAGGAACTTAACCTGTCCAGTCTGGAGGACAGAAGGGAAAGGAGAGACATGATTGAGACCTTTAAATACATCAAAGGGGGGAATAAGGTTCAGGAGGGCAGGATTACCAACACGAAACCAAAATGAAGAACACGAGGACAGGACCTCCAACTAACTGGAGGAACGTTCAGAACTAATCTCAGAAAGTTCTTATTTCACTGACAGAGTAGTGGATGCCGGGAATAAACGTCCAGCAGAGGTAGTGAGCCAGTCAGCAGTAACCAAGCTTCAACCATGCGTGGGACATTACAGATCCTATAATCAGAACAAAGAAGTAAAAAAAAAGAAATAAAATAAAAAGCCAAAACAAACGCCTTCACTTTTCTATGTTTCTAATCAGAATGTATTTTTTGTATTTATAAAATAAAGTAATATATTTAGACATTTTCTTCAATGTCGTTTTTATTAAGTAGTTTTCCAATACAAAATAAGACAGTTTTTGTTGTATTATTATCATAACCACTTCATCTCTAGGATGTTTTACCGACGACATTCATGACCTGGCCATTGTGTTTGGCTATTCAAGCACTGGCACATACTTTAAACTGGTTAAATTGCACAGGTCCATGCAATTGATATCATTTTTTTTCCCCAAAAATTTCTTTTGGTGGATTTGCATGCTGGTTTTTTTTTTTATTAACAAAAAAAAATTTGGGGGAAAAAAAATTTAAAAGTTCTACTTTCTGTTTTTAAAAAAATATCTAATGAAAAAAAATTAATTTTTTCATAAATTTAAGCCAAATTTTCTTGCTACATGTCTTTGGTAAAAAAAAAATCCCCAAAAAGTATTTTAAATTTTAGTAAAAAATT